AAATCTAAAAATTAATTCTTCAGTATAGTAGCCACATTTCAAGTTTCAATAGCCACAGGAGGCCAGTGGCTATATCACACATGGTCCGTATAGAACATCTCTATGGTTGTAGAACGTCCTATGAGATAGTGCTGCTCTAGAGGTTTCATTTCATCCTTTTGGTTTGAAATGCCTTTGGGCCCTAATTTGTTTTGAAGCATGAAAGTGAACTCCATGGCTTGAGTGGCTTTTATTCAAGAAAGCTGGAGCCAGGAGGGCCGATAAGTGTGCCCACTTTGGTTCCATTGGCTTCTCTGGACTCTTCTCAGGCTAGGAGAAAGCTGAAAGGGAGGCCAAGGCTTTGATCATGGAGAGTTGCCAGGGACAGATCCCCTCTGGAGTGCTCCCACCGGGGAGTTAGTGAGAGGCAATGGGCACTGGCTACTCCCTGTGCAGGCAACAGCCCAATAGGATGCCTCTAGCCAAGGGAGATAAGTCCAGAAATAGAAACCCTTGCTTCTCCACCCCTCCATGACCCACATGGGAGCTTAAGGGAAGGGGAATAGTTAGGAATGTCCCCTCTGTAGTGAGCTCCTGCCTTCCAGGGAAGGCCAACTTCTGCTAAGGGGAGAAGCATGGAGACAGCCCTACCACTAGTTCATCATCAACTCCACTCTTCCTCTCTTTGTTGTCTTTGCTAAGTCACTGTCAACGTTAAATTTTAGGCAACTAAGTGACATCATCTTGCCTTCTGGTACCCAAACCCATGAGCTGAGAGTGGAGTATCTGTGGCTAACTCTACTTCCTCTACCAGGTTCCTGCACTCTCCCTCCATGGTAAGTAACATCAGGGCTGCCAAAAACCTTGGGACTATGCTCATCTTATTGGCCTAGAGTATCTGCTGTGTGGCTCCCTTTTCTCCTCCCCTTGTCCTCTGGGAAAGGTCGATTTGGGAATTTTAACTGGAATGGTATTGAATCTAGGGATTAGTTTGAGGGGAAATGAGATCTTAACAATACTGCATTTTCCAGTTCATGAACACATCTCTCCATTTCAGTCTTTCTTCATTTGTCTCAAAAAAATTGTATGGTTTTCTCTGTAGAGATCTCAGACACTTTTTGTTAGATTTATTCCTTAGCGCTGGACATTTTCAGTGCTTATCATAAAAAAAGTATCTTAAAATATTTTTTTCCTATCTTTGTTGGTAAATGTCAGCTCGTGACAGGATGACGATCTAGCTTGTCGGATCATTCCAGCCCAACCTTTTTCCATGCTGACCAGCTTGGTCTTGATAATCATGTAGGGCCCAGGTACCATCCAGGTATCTCCAGCTAGTTATCTTTTACTCCCAGGGAAGGAATTTCCTCTTGCTTGCTATTAGTTATTCAAATCAATACTACTTTCATTCTACTTTCTTCAGACCCTCCCCACAGAGTCCTAACATTTGTGAGGGGGCTGAATTTTTCTAAACTAGTTTATGTTCTCTAGTTTTTTTGTGAAAAAAAAATTGTTCAGCATGGACATCATATGAATTTAAGGAGCTGGGCAGTTGGAGTCAGGGCAGGGATTTACTTGAGTAAATTCATTTTCCATGGAGTGGTGAAGAGAACATGTAGAAATGAAGAAATTGGGAACACCAATCACTGCGAAGACGATAGAAGAAGGAAGCAAGAGTACAAACTGCTCTACTGATAGATCAACCCACCAAGCAGTCAGAGAGACAGAAAGGACAGAGAAGAAAACCCAAGCATTCAGCCCTCAGGCAATCTACCTCTGACTATCATTAATGTCAACTATGACACTTTGGGTATTGAATGTCCCCTAAAGGTTCACATGTTTAATGCTTAGTCCCCAGAGTGGCACTATTGGGGGTTAGTAGAATCGTTGGATTTAGTGGGAAGCCCTTAGGTCACAGGGCTGTACCCTTGAAAGGGACTATGGGAGCCTAGTCTGTCCTCTCATTGCATTTTGGCAGCAGATGGGACTATTATGCTCCTATATGTCCTCCTGCCATGATATGCAGGTGGCTATTACTCTCACCAGATGCTGTCACCCTGCCTATACTTCCAAAACTATCAGTAACCCCTTTTCTCTTTATAAATTAGTTGCTTCAGGTAGTTTGTAGTAGTATTAAAAAGCTGATTAACACTAAGTTTTCCATATTTTTACTGCTTAATTATCCTTTTGCAGTAAATATTTGAAAGTATAAACTCATTTTTATGATATATCAACAATCATGCCATGTGAAATATAAACTTCAGAAGAGAATTTTACTTAATGGTGGGACATGAAAGTTGTTATGAATTACAGGTACACTATTAGACGCCACTCATTCTTACACAATATCCAGCTAGATATTTCTATCAGAGTTTGGAGGGGCTTCTGTTTTTGTTTTCCTCATAAAAAATTTAGGATACTCTTCCTGGAATATATTCCTTAATGAAGAACATAGTACAGTGAGGATCCAGGGACCTAACACTCCTCGATCCCCCTCCCAACTGGTCAACCTTCTCTACATAGCTAGAGCTAGTGGCCTTTGTCCCTCTATTGTCACAAGTCTCTTTAGGGGAATTTAGAGAAAAGATCCATTCTTCTTCCTTCCTTCCAATATTGGAGATTAAATCCAGAGCCTCACACAGGCTAGGTAAGCACCAAGCTACATCTGTAGCCTTTTTAAATTTTATATGCAGATAGGACCTTGCTAAGTTGCCTAGGTTGGTCTCAAACTTGTGATCCCTCTGCCTCAGGCTTCCAAATAGTTGGGATTACAGGTGTATACAGTTGTGCCAGGCTCCTTTCTCTATATATCACAGATGGATCTTGTCAGGTGTGAAATGCAAATGGCTCTAAGATGCTCTCTTCCTTCTCTGGGAATAGTCTCTCATATTTTACTATGTCTTTTCATGATAGAAAACCAGGGGCTGAGGAAACTCGGAGGCACTTTATAATTTAGGTTGCCCCAACTGGTTACTTCTGGAAACCTGGCTTGTTCCTTGATCTGCAGGACTTAGGTAGAGTGTCTTTCAGGCCGAGATCCCCGAAGGTGTCAATTTCATGTGCTTCCTAGGGCAGGTTACCCAATCCATCGCCTTGCTCGTGAGACATGATTCAGAAAGTCCATTGCAGGGCTCTGCAGACTGCCTCAGACTTCATCGGGAACACATCTGAGTCAACTGTGGATGACTCAAGGCTTTGAAATATTTAAACCATATGTCTCATGACACCAGATGAAAATGATGCCAGTTTCCCTACTGAGAGGTTGTCATCTGAGACTGAAGCTCAGCTTGGCAGTGATCCTGTATCCCAGCCTTACTGGGTCATGCTGCTGTGTTGGTGAACCTGTTAGTACTCCTGGGACACAAGGCTTGGAATAGGGTCACATGTGGGCAGAGATACTGTGGGCCCCACAGAAGACAGCCAGGGAAATTTGCTGGTTATTTCTAGGTTAGGATATAATGCATCCCCTAAATGGGACTGAACTTGGAAGTCAAAGTGAAAAAGAATATAGTTACTTCTCTGAACGAGGTAGGGAAACATCATTACTATTACCAAATAATGCTCATTAGGAATCTTATTCGCTGAAGATTAGCTAAGATCCCTGGGCATTCTTTGAGTGAGAGGAAGAATCAGCACTCTAAGAATATTGTCTGTCTTATTTTTTTTAAGTGTCTCAAAGACTGTTTCCTTCTTTCTTAAAAGTACCCAGCAGAATACTTGACATGAAAAAAAATGCTTGCTAACAGCTTAGTGTGGTAGAAAACACCAACTATAAAGTTAGAGGTGCTAGATTCCAACAACAGTTCTGCCCCTTGCAAGTAGTGTAACTGATATTGGGCACATTGCTTCCCTCCTCCCTGTATTGGGGGTGTTAATACCTGTCTTATGGGGAATGTTTTAAGGACTACATACAGTGATATGTACATACCGCATGAGACATTATAAAAAATGTTAGATCACTATTAATTCAAAGAAGGTCATGGATATCTTGTTAATGAACATAGATCTAGTAGCAAAGAAGGGTCCCCATCTAGAGTTAATCCTGGAACAAGTAAAAATTTGAATAAACATAGAAGGTATGGCCAGAGACTCATTCTTTTTGCTTCCTGTTGATCTGTGCTACAACTGGGAAAATTAGGGAAGAGGGAAAGAGAAGGCTCAGAAAGCTGAAAAGATTTTCTCAGGTCTTTAATTGTGCAATTCTCCAACCTTTCCTTTTTATCACTCTCCAAAGGATGTTGTGGCGACCGTGGAGGGTCCCTGAGCTGCTGTTGCAGCCTCCCTCAGAAGTAGCTGCCTGAGTTGTGATCCAAGGCCACTGAATGCCTGTAATTCTGTCCTATCTACAGAGGCCAAGGATGGAAGTCACTGCTTACACCAACCTGCTCCTGTACCTTTCAGGAAAATGCAGGTGGTGCTGGCTAAGAAGATCACAGATATTCCAAAATGGCAGGTCATCCAATCTTCCCTACCATGTCCATTCACAGTGGTCCTAATCTATTCCTTTTAAAGAGCTGCCTACAAGAGCAATACAGAGGAATTTATAGGTAACTACTCTTTCTGTGCTGGAGGGTATAAATGAGCAATGACACAGCCTCTGAGGGAGGGAACAGGAGGTGCCTGTAGGCTGAAGCCCAGAGCCCTGAACAAATGCAGCCCTGGTTGAATTTTTCACATGAGGCCAATTAAATGGGAGGAGGGTAGAACAAAAGTCTGAGAAGATCTGGGGGACTGAGCTCAGAGGTTTGGTTTGCCAGTCTGAGAAATGGGAGAAGGGCCATGGCTCAGTTCATGAAGGAATCTGCTTCCTCTGAGTCCCAGTCAAGAGCTGATTCCTGTTTCAAGGAGTTGGCCTGGTTCAACTCTTGGCAGGTGTAGGAGTTGGGGCACTTATCATTGGGGAAGGGATGGTTCTTCACTGATAATTTCTGCCCCTCACTCTCCTTCTTTAAGAATATGCACTCCCACACCCCTTTTTACCCTCTCCCTGAGGCCTGTCAACCAGCCTTTTGTCAGAGGCCTACCTTGGGTTTGAAGGCGATGAGCTTCAGGATCATCTCCACAGTGAAGAGGCCAGTGAAGAGCATGTTGAGGATGTTCATGGCGATCTTGAACAGGCAGCTCTGGCCATAGTGCTGAGTGAAGGAAGATGAAAGGGACGATGAGCACGGGGCAGGGATCCACGGCCTCCTCACCACCTTTGCCCAGACTTCCTGGAAACCCTCATCTCATCAGAGATCTTCCTTGAAGCCACCCCCAGAAGGCCATCCACCTTTCCTGGGGCAGCCAGGTGGACTCAGGAGAGCCTATAAATTCTTCTCTTCTCTACCATCTCTGAAAACAGGGGTTGACAGAGTTCTTTGTCCATTCTGATTGGGTGTGATAGCTTTGTGGGGGCTTCTGGCACTCAAGAGCCCTGGTACGAGCTGACCTCCTTGCAGACAAGTGCACACCCATGCCTTCCTGATACCAATGACTGCTTCACGCTCACTCTCTCGGTTCTTCATTTCCTTCACCTTCTTCATTTTATAAACCTAGGACCCCATGGGTTATCTTATAAGGTCCCGGAGGGGAACTTATTCTTGGGAAAGGACACTTTTCTATTTCCAGATGGGAGAAGAGAAGAGCTCTTTTGCTCTTTCTGCTTCCCTTGGATACCAGGAAGGTGAGCAATGAGAAGGTCTGCAGCTCTTTGACATCCTCTCCTACCATTCTCCCTGGGCAGGACCAGGTTCCCCTTTGGACTGACCTGCATGGCCAAGCAGATGGTGTTGAGCAGGATGAGGACGAACATCAGGTACTCAAAGTAGGTAGAGTTGACCACGTACCACACTTTGTATTGGTGCTGGTTCTTGGGGATGTACCTCCGCAGGGGCCGGGCCTTGAGGGCATATTCCACACACTGTCGCTGGGAGGGGGCACAGGAAGGAGTGGGATGGGAGTAGGGAGAGAGTGGAGTTAGTTACCTGGATGATGTGAAGTTGAGGGCAGAGAGGGTGGGATGTACATGAAACTACATGTGCTGGGGCTGGAGTGGGGGTTCTCTGGAAGTCAGGGAAATAATCTATTACTCTAGCTCACGTAGAGATTTCCGATGTAATTTGGGGAAGGTTTTGATTTTCCGTCACTTCCCTAATCAACGAGAGAGTCCCTTCTTCTCAAATCTATTGAGATTACAAGCAAGGAGCATGCGTGTCCTTGATTTTCAACCTGGTAATGACTGGTATACTGCTTAGCAGGTGGCTGGCACCCGATAAACACGGATTGACTCATTCTTTGGTCTTCTTAATTATTTCCCACACCACAGAGTCTCCTTGGGGAGGTTCTGACTTCCATTTTTCTTCCCTACCCTCAATCCATCTTTCTTATTTTCTAGTATCCAAGGATCAGAAGACAGAGTTCACTGAAGGGGAAGAGATTCTGGGCTACCTAGATTCTTGGGATTCCAGTAAAGGTCAGTGCACTCCTCTAACAGATTCCCAATCCAGGAAGCAGGAAGTCACTCCAACCTCTTTAACCCTCAGCTGCCATGTCCAGTCCCTCCACCTTATGACGTTACCTCCTCCTACTCTTCCCATCGCTGCTGCTATCATTAACCTAATACCAAGTCAGGCTCTAAGCCTCTCTTATCTTCATTTTATAATTGGCCTCCCTCTTTCCTGTCCTCCTTTCAATCCAAAGTCCACATAGCCACCAGAATGATGAGTTTGAGCCAACGTAGTAGACATCAAAACCTATGAGGGGTCCAGCTCTCCTAATCTGGGTAGAGCTGATCACACTGTGCTTGCAAGGCTCCTTCCTATAAGCAAAGATAGGGCCGTGTTTCACACTACTCTTCCCACTGAGAACAACGGGGAACTGACCTTGGTGGATTTACCTACTTCCCACCTTAACAGCCTCATTACTCACCACCGAGCTGCCAGCTCTTTCTCACCGGCTAACAGAACACATCTCAGTCCTTGGCATCACTGTCTCACTCCCACATAAGCCTATTTCCTGTCTCCACCTCCTGCATAGTCCTCTGTGTTTCACTTAAAAAACCATATAAGAGTGGTTTCCTAAAACTGTTCTCTTGCCCACCTCAAAAGCTCTCACTGCTTCACTGTTTTAGTTTCTCTCTTTTCTTATCATTGGGGCCAACCCACTTGGGTACATTTTCCCCCCACAGTGCTTACCATATATTTGTTGGCTGTGTAAGTCTGTTATATTATATCTGAGTTGGTCAGGGATTTGCATTCCCTTTGCATAGATCCCCCCCCCCGCAAGATGGAAAGCCCTGTTCTTGTTGGCAGAATACTTTTTCTAGATCTGGAATTTGCAGGGATCTGCATTTCTTTTGCAAGAACCCTGTTTGGCTTGAGGAGAGGATGGAGGACGTTGGTATCCACATAGATCTATTCCTGAACTCTCGTTACCAATTGCTGCCATTCCTCACATGCTGCCCTCCTTGCCTTCCTCCTTTCCTTCCTAGAAAGCTACCTGGTTTTTGTCCAGCTCACAGTTCTTGTACTCTTGCTCTCCCTGCTCCTGGAAGGTGACGATGACGAAACCCACGAAGATGTTCATCATGAAGAAGGCAATGATGATGATGTAGATGATGAAAAAGATGGAGATCTCCACGCGGTAGTTGTAGATGGGGCCCTTGTCTTCCGTGTGGGAGTCGATGGAGCGGTACAGCAGCCTGCAGGAGGAGACAGGCCCCACAGAGGGAACTGGAGAAGCAGTGTCACCTCTGTGGAATGATGGCACCAGGACTCCTAGAAATCCCTGGGATCAAGGGAAATGGCTCTGGGCTGGGAGCCAGAGGGTCTGGATTCAAGTCTCAGTTCTGCCACTTCCTGGCCATGTGGCCTTGAGTAAATCACTTAATCTCTTGAGACTCAGATTCTTCATCTGTAAAATGGAGACAATAATTCCCAACTTTCCTAACTTGTGGGGCAATTGACATAATGTACATGAAGGTGTTTTGAAACTGTCAAGAACTATTTAAATGTAACATGATTCATGGACATTGATTTCAAATTCAGAAATATCGGTAAATATTGAAACAGCTTTGCAAACTGGCACGGACTCAAAGGAGGTTAAAGTGAACATAAAATAAATTGGAGAGAAAATAATCCATTTAGATAAAAATACTAACACGACCCATGCTTCAGATCATCCGGAATGGTTTGGTTTTATACTTAAGTGGTTTACACCTGTCCACCATTCATTTAGACCTGGGCCGCATGCCCCATTAAGCTTGCTACTCTTTGTGGACAGGGATTATCTCCTTCCCTTCCTTTGTAACCCTGTGAGTACTTAGCTCTTCCCTAGGTCTCGCCTACATTTTGCCATATAATAATGATCTAAGACCCATGCACCACAGGGTGGGGGTTGCAGGCATCTAGACAAAGATACATGGGGCACCTGACAGATGAGCTGCCTGCCACAGGTGATGCAGAATAAAAGGCCAGCAGGTTGGTCTACATGTGAACGAGCTGCCTCTGTAGAGGGACAAGGGCACAGGCTTTCATCCCTTTCTTACTTTCCACTGTAAATGTCAACAAGACTTCCTCTAAAGGAGACGGGGTAAAGCCTAGCAAAACAGAGACATCTCAGCTACGTTGACCCACACTGGGAGTAGTAATGTGGAGCTCCTTGGTGATAAAACTCTCTCCACACCTCACTCCCAGATGACATGAGGGTAATGACAGAGACTCCTGACCTTGTGGTTCATGCTGAGGTTGGGAGAGGGGGGCTATAAAAGCACTCATTTTGGGTTAGAGTTTCTAAAATTTTGACTTCTCTCACCTGGGGCTGTAGCTCACTGGTAGAGTGCTTACTGAGCACGTACAAGGTCCTGGGATTGACCCCCAGAACCATGAAATAAAGAAATCAAAATAAAATATTGACATATTCTAGAAGAGTCTATGTTTCGGCAGTGACGATGGCCTACAGATTATTCTAGAAACATACCCTTATTTCAGGGGGTGGACACAAGTGTGATCTCTGGGAAGGAATGAAGGACATTCACGAAACTTGGGCAACGGGTGGATAGCCAGTGTTCGGGGCCTCCAGTATCAGGGCGGATGGACTTTGGTTTGCGTACTCACTCTGGCCACCCCTCAAAGGTTGAGACGGTGAAGAGAGCCATCATGGCTGCCAGAACATTGTCGAAGTCAAACTTGCTGTTCTCCCAGCTGCGGGGCTGGATGATGGGGTGGTCAACCTCTCCGTCTTTGTATGTGATATAGTTACCCCTGAGAGAAGAGGAGAAAAAGTAATTCTGGCTTTTCCATCTCCCTCCACACTTGACCTGTTGCCAAATAACTCCTTTGCTGCATGGGATGGAACTATCTAGAATGAAACCACAGAGTTCCAGCTATTGGGAAGAACTTCAGTGGGTAGGACTTTCAGGAATAGATAGATCATTTGTCACATCAGAATCAGATTGCATGTGGGTAATAGCCCTGCTGTCCCCTCCTCTGAGACCAAGTCCCCAATCTCCTTGAGTTAGGTGGCCTGGGCACCCAATGCCCTCCAGCCTATACTTACTTGCATTCTGCCTCAGTCTGTTTGGAACTATCTGAGCAGGTATAGAGCTTTCCCTAAAAGGCAAAAGAACAAAGTGATTAGAGATGTTCCTTCATCAATGAATCCATCACAAAACGGTTAATGAGCGCTGAGCTAGGGGCTGTGGGATAAAAAGTGCAAGGTGAACAGAATCCAGATGAGGCGACGTGACTCACATACACACAGCAGCCAGAGAATCAAGACACTCACACTGCTGCAAGTACCACTGGAATTCAAAACCAGGGAGCTCCAATCCAAGAAAGCTGAACTCTCTAGGAAGGTCTTGAGAGGAAGGAAGAAGTGGAGCCGGGGTGGGAAGAGGGAGTGAGGTGGGGGAAATCAGTGAAGTTTATGTGGTGGGTGGGGGAGGGCAGGGGAAGAATGCTGCGTGTGGGGAAATAGCAGAACTAAAGAGACGGAGGCAGAAAAGAGAAGAAACCATGGAGGACCCTGGCCTCGAGCTGGGGGAAGGATGGATGTGATGCTACTGACAGTAAGTAACTGTTGTAGGGTCTCATGCAAGTGACTCTCTTCCAGACAGTGAAAGTCCCCCTCCTGTTCTGGCTGGAAAGAAGGGCAGTGAACTAAAGGGTCAGCAAAGCTGAGAGGACAGGAGGCCTTTAGTCTGGTGGAGCCTCCTTCTGGTTCCTCTCTCCTCTGGTCTGGGAAGCTCGAGTGGGGCTGTGGTTGGAGATCACAGTCACCCCCGCGTGACCAGGGCTGCTGTCCTCCTCCTGTTGTATCCACCAGTTCCCCTTCTTGGGAATGCTGATGGGGAGGGAGGGATGCTACTAGACAGATCAGAACCAAGACCTTACCTTGAAGAGCTGGACCCCGATGCAGGCAAACATGAACTGCAGCAGTGTGGTGACAATCACGATGTTCCCGATGGTCCGGATGGCAACAAACACACACTGGACTACATGCTATGGTGGGAAGAAGGACGAGGTAAGGGAACACAGTTTCAGGAAATGCCAGCAGCTTGAGCTTCCATCAGTCAAGCCATGAGCCCTCCTGGGAGGTAGCAGAAGCTGCCCCTCTGCCGCAAGTGGGAGAAAGCAGGCTCAGAGAGGTAAAGCAGCCTTCCCCGCATCACAGGGTGAGTGACGGAATCCAAAGGAATACAAAGTTCTCCTTGAGGGTTCCCTTTACAGGGAATCCCCTACAGGGGTACAAGCACTATGAACCTATTGTTGAATAGTGGATAGTGGTAGGTGTACAGGGACCTCATCACCACCCAGAGATTCTGGGTTTGTGTTCCCCTTTGCAAAATTTTACATAGGAACTCAGGTTTTAAAATGGTTTCCTGTAACCATTCCACTCCTTATGGAAACAGGATTTGAGTGGGACCAGTGTCTAGGCACCAACATGGCAGACTCTTGGCTTGATCACTCTCTCCTCCTTCAAGCCCAACCATCACCTCAGCTGAGAGTCTACCGACCAGCAGGCCCATCAATGCTTCTTAAGTTTAAGCCTTCCCACCCAGGTCCATCATCTCACCTTTAGCCCCTTGGCCCTGTTGATGGCCCTCAGGGGTCTAAGTACTCGCAGGACTCGCAAGATCTTCACAACATTGATTGCACTAGACCTGGAAGGAAAAAAGGGCAGGTGGTAAGTTTCCCCTGCTTCTGAAATGACGAGGGGAGGTGATGTCCTGACAGGCTGATCCCAGGCAAACTTGACAAATGGAGTCTGTCTGGGGTACTTTTTACTTCTAATTTTCACCTCTAAGAACCTGGGGCTTGCTGTAACTTTGGGACTTTCCTGTTGGTGAGAGAATAGAGAAACTAGGTTTGGGGATATAGCCCTGGGTTTCATCCCCAGCATGGCGACAACCACAGAAAGCATTTGACATCAATCGTTAGCAATATAATGTGCTACGTAGGGGGGCATCCTGTGCACCATTGCTGTCCATTGCCAGCCAAGTCACCTGAAGTTACATTTCCTGACTTTGTTGAGACCTAGTTTCTCATCTGAAAAATGGGGCAGCGATTAGCTCATAAGGATGCTGCAGGGATTAAATGAGAATTTTATGTGCATCATCCAGCAATGTGCTTGGCACTTAGAATCCAAATAAATGGTGGCTTTTATTACTATGCCTGCTGAAGATATCACTGTACATAAAGAAAGACAATAATGCTGGAACTTCAGGCCTTCTGGTTAGAGGTGGTGGGGGTGGAGAGGGATTTTTGAGTGTAGATCTCTAAACACAGAACCCAGGTAGTCACACATCCCATCTATCTATCTATCTATCTATCTATCTATCTATCTATCTATCTATCTATCTATCTATATGTCCTTTTCTGGTTCCTAGCATGACTCCAAGAAAGAATGGCTTCCACATGCCTGGGATGCCAAGGCCAAGTTAAAGATTCCAGGAGCATCAGGCTCCTGCCATGACCTGGTGGGAAGGAGGCAGGAGGGGCAGGTCCCCCCCACAGACCCATGGCAAGATGCCTGGATGGTTTCCAGTTGTCCATCCAACCCAGGGAGAGGTTATGAACCACACCAGTTGCTGAGCAACTCCGAAGGATGTCCCAACCCTCCCTCACTAACTCTGTGATTGAGATATTTTCTTGAGCATTAGGAGAGGAGGCCTCACAATCTGCCTTGGACACTAAAAAGCATATGACACATTGGTAAGTGCTGGTTTTATTCTTCATAGTTCAGAATGATGTGCACATGATCTACAGAAAGATCCAATTTCTCTGGTTCATGGGCCTTTTATTCTCAGAGATTCAAAGGGCATTCCTATCTATCACTGCATCTTTTCTCCCAGTGTCTCTGAGAAGGAGTCAGTTTGTATTGAATCACAATGGAAAGGATTTAAAGGTCAGAAAGGGAAAAAAACAGACTGAAAGGAGAAATTCGGAGTTCAAGGTGAAATTGATTTAATGGTAGTGTTGGGGTTAGAATCTAGATCTGTAAACTCCCAGGCAGAAAATTTTGAGAAATATAATTGATATCACAGAACAGGGTCTCACTTCCATGGCCCCCATCTCATCCTAGAGGCTGACCATGAAACAACCTTGGGATGGGAGACCCATCAGGACCTCTGGGACTTACACCTATTTCTGCCATTGGCATGACCTTTAGCAAGTCTCCTGAAGGTCATATTTCCTATCTATGAGTTGATAACTGCACCTTGCACTGCCTACTTCATAGAATTTTTTTTTTTGAGAGGATCATGGAAAAATGCGTATGTGAAAGTGCTTTGAAAGTTCCAGTGCAGAATTGACATGCTCAGCCTTAGAATGTGGTAGAAACCTGTAATCAGATTCTTTCAGACCTAAGAAAGGTTTGCAAGCTTGATTGTACAGGGAAATCACCTGGAGAGCTTTCATAACAGTAGCACCAGACTGTACCCCAATCCAAAAAAAAAAAAAAATTCTGAGGGTGGGATCCAGGGCAAATGTCATTATTTTAAGTTTCCCAGGTGATTCCTTTGTGCAGCCAAGATTGAGAATCAGTAATTTATCTCTCTCTGTCTCTTTTCACCATACACACATCCGGTGTTTTGACTAAAAAGAGAAGTAAGAGAAAGGGAGAGAAGGGATGGCTCAGAAGGTCAGGGGCAGGTCATGGCAAAGGCAGGACCTTGGCAGCTAAAGAGCAGTCAAGAGTCCTGGGCACATGGTAGAGAAGGTAAGAAGGTACTGCGGACACCTGTTTCTTTATAATGGAGCCTGGCCCTTTTTCCTGTGGCAAAATCTAGACGTTTAAATGTATTTCTGAGGATCACATACCCTCCTGTATCACACCATTGAGCATATGGACACAAGAAACGAAAGCCACTGTGTCGTGCAACCTCAGAGGCCCTATGCTATCACAGTCTCATTGTGGTGTCTTGTCTGACACCCATTCCTAGCTGATGACCTTATTATCTTGGGGTAAGGGAGCCCGACTCACTGAATGCCAAAGGAGATGAGGGACACGCTGACCACCAGCAGGTCTAAGATGTTGAAGTAGTTCCGGCAGAAAGAGCCCTTGTGTAGGAAAGCCCCGTAAGCAGTCATCTGCAGGAAGGGACAGAGAGACAGGGTGTGAGTGACCCCAGCCCCAGTTCCACAAACCACCCACACGCCTCATCACCCTTTCCTCCCCCAGAGCCCCTGGGGCAGGTCCCAAGCACTGCCCCAGGGGAACAGGAAGGACTGAGGAAGGAGATATAGTGGCCAGAAAAGGTTCTGCAAACCTTCACTCAACCACCAAAGAATTCCCCAGCTCAGAATGCATCAGGGCTCCTACTCCTACCCGACAGCAGACTCTTCATGACTGTGCTCAAAGCCCTTTCCAATGGCCCATTGTCCCTCTCTGATTTTTCTCTTCCTCATCACAAGTCTATGATGGCTCCAGCATGGGGCCCTTGACTAAGGCTCTTTAGGCCAGCTTACCCTGTCTGCACATCTTCCACCCTCTGAACTTCACAGCCAACTGAAACACTCGTTATCTGGGAGATGGAGAGAGCATGTCCAGAAGGGCGACCAACTGTCCTGGTTTGCCTGGGACTTGCTCATATCACTAAAATGTCCTGCATCCTATAAAAACTGGGAGGGTTGGTCACCCTGGTGCCCAGAGAAAAGTTCTACCAATCACTGTGGCAATTAGCATCCCTCTCCTCCTTGGCTTTCAATAGTGCTTGGGATCTATGTCAAATGTTCTAAGCTCAATTTGACTGCTTCCCTTCTAGACAGAATCTGGAGCTCTTTAAGGAAGGGCATGAACCATGTGTTTAGAGGGGGTAACGTGAGACAAAGGTGAGGAATGCAAGTTCTGCAGCCAGACCATCTGATCTGAATCCCAACCCTCCTGAATTTTATTTGTGTGGCCCTGAACAAAGTTCTTAACTTCTCTGTGCCTCATTTTCCTCATCTAAACATGAGGATGATGATAATATCTACTCCACTGGGATGTTAGCATCAACTGAGTAAATATATAAAAGATACTCGGGACACTCTTCTGCAGATGCTATGCTCCGTATGTGTCACCTGTCACTGTGTCTTGGATTTGAATTCTGGATTCTTCCAGTATAAAGGAAGTTGAGTTTCCTCATCTATAAAGTGGGGATATGATTCCCTTGTCTTTGTGAGGTTTACACAGGAAAACAAGGCAGGCCTTTGAAAGAAGAGAACACATGAGATAATGATTATTGTTGCAGGATCTGGCTATGAGTACCTCCCTCAGAGCTAGAAGAAAGCTGTTCGCGGTAGGTGCTCAACCAATAGCTTTTGCCACTTTGTGACATGAATGAATGGCCTGTGGATATCCGGGGTAAGGGCTGTGAAAGGCCATGGGCCATGAAGCATCAGCTAAAGGGAAGAATTTGGAGCTGATGACCATGAGGCTGAGAACAGCTCCCCGGTCATCTAGGGTCCAGTTTATCTCTTTGGAATCAGAGCATGCCCAGGGTGGTGTGTCTGCAGAGCAATTCAAAAGCAAACACAGGGGGAAATTGGCAAAAATAGCTCTTGCAACCTAATTCTTTCTATTTATCTCCTGAAGCAGGGGATCACAGGGGATTCAGGCACCTGTGTTCTGCAACAGTTTTTAGAAGTGGGGAGGTTACATAAAAGGTTGCAGGGGAATATAGTTGCCCATCTCTCCTGAAGGCCTGCCATCTGGAAGGCACACTGCCTTTGTCTTGGTGAAGACCTGGGACCCCAGAGATTAGGCTCAGGTGACTCTTGTGGTTCATGCTCACCAAAGAGCCCCCTGTGCCCGCAGAAGGCTGAGCACCTTCCCTAGCAATCTCACTTTTAGGCTTAGGTGTTGTGTCTGGTCCCTTCTTGTTCTGGTTCTTGTAGAGCCCTCTTTATATGGGAAAAAGCATTCCTTAGATAGGTGGGCAGTAGGGTTCAGAGTGCCACCTTCTGTCCTTTGCTTCTGCTTGGTCAGAGGACCCTTAGGAGGAGACCAGCCTTTTGGAAAGTGTGCATGTGCATGTGGGTTGGGAGCCAGAAGGAGAGTGGCTGTGGGATAAAAGACAAGTGGGTGCTAGAGAAAGGGGACATTTATCTGAAAGCCATGTGTGGCATTCAGAGCACCAGAAAAAGCCTGGTTCAGGAACTCAGTGCAAGCTGTCTTTCTACCCTCTTTTACTGATTGCCCCCCTCCTAGTCCCTGACTTCTAAAAGTTCTAAGTCATTAACCAGGAAAGGTCTACTGCCACTCTGAGGAGGGGAAAGGGACAGGCTGTAAAGTCACTAACTCTCTGAGCTGGTAGGGCAGCCATTCCCTCCTCAGTCACAGGCAATCACCGCCTCTCTAGGGAGCCCTTCCGACCACATGTATCTCCACTCTTCTCATTGCCGTGCTTTGGTTCTGATTCTACTTTTTCTTCTCTGTGTCAGTCCTTTGCATTATTAAGGCGGGTGGCCCAACATGTGTTTTCTTTTCAAGGCCAAATCATCCTAAGTCCTCCCATGGTTCCTTAGGGCAAATGAGCCTAAGTGGACAGCCATCATAGCCTGCGGGTTGGTGCAATGCTGGGCCTTCAGGCTGGGCAGAGGGACCCAGTGAAAGGGAAGTACAGGAGATGCACTGGTCATGGGGGTCGATATTCAGAAGCAGTGAGCGTAAGAGAGACCAGAAGAGGAAGAGAGAGGAAGGGGAGAGAAGGGCCTTGCCATGACAATGCTTGCAGAGAGACTTTCACTTCCGCTTGTATGGCAACCTTGAAGGAGCGATGGCACCATTGAAATCCACGAGGGAGCTCTGTGGCGGGGGTTGGGGGGCATCCATGAGAATGGGGGCCTTGGGGTTTTTCTCGTCCTGGGAAAGAAATTTGTGTGTCTGTGTGCCTCTTTGTGTCTGAAGTCCAGGAAAAAAAATCACCTTTCCATAGAAAAGTGGCTCCCAGCAGTCTCAGTGCTGCCCTGTGACTCCTGGTTCCCACTCCCTGACTCCAGAAACTGGAGCCTGGCCAGATCTACTCTCCCAGAGCAGAAAAGAAAATTCTGAGCAACACTTTGGGTGAGCAACAGAAGTGGCAAAACTGTACCACTGGGGACAAGGGCATCATGGCAGGCACTCAGAAACCACCCCACTTGAATGGTATCATGATGGGATGAAATGTCATGCTTCTCAAAGGGTTTTGCCAGGATGGAATTTTATTAGAAAAAGAAGGGTCTGCAGCCGTCAGAGGCACAATGGTGGGGTGGACACCAGTTGGGTCAGCTGCAATGATGGATGGGAAGGGGGCCTGAGCTCCTTGGGAGCGGGCACCCCAGGTGAATGTCCCTGAGAAAAGATGCTTTAGCTGAAGCTCAGAGTCTACAGCCCTTTGGTTTAGGGTGAGGGTAAAACTGACCCCTTGCTCAGAGAGCAGCACACCATACCCAAGGTCTCAGAACTCACATCCTGCATCCCATGTGGACTGGCTTAAGGCATTGGTTTAAAGGCTCAGAAGTATACTGGGAAAACTTAGAAACCACCTTGCGCATCACAGTGCTGTTCAGACATGGGCGCTATCTGTTTTTGGGATAACCATGTGGGAGCAACTCTACAGATCTGAGCTGGCAACAGCAGGCAGGGATGGGGCCTGAGTGCTCAGGCTCCTTCCAACATTGATTCACTCCCTGTACTTTGCTCTGCAAGACAACTCTCCCTCCCCTGGGCTTGGGGCAAGGACATTGTACCAAAAACTTTTCAGTGAGTCACTGGAGGGTCAGAAGTGATCTACAGCTGTCTGCTGAAAGGCCTTGGCTGGGAGACTGGCTCCCAATCTTGATTATTCTAGTGGCCCCACTCCAGCTTGGCCCTGATGTCTGCTGTAAGTACTGAGGAAGTTCTTGATGACAGGCATCCACGGAGAGCAGCCAGAGTGACTCCTTCATGCCCCAGAGCTTTTCCACTTGTGGAGTTTGTGTTGGCATCTCTGCGAGGCAGGAGGAGGATGGGAGAATTCCAAGCAGATCTCAGATACCAACTGACTGGAGATGGCACATGTGAGCATGTGTAGGGGCACTGCTGATAGCCACAGTGCCAACCAGAGAGGGGACCGTATCGGTGGTGACACAGCCCAAACTGCTTACTGGTGGTCAGAGAGAGGGGGCCTGGCCATGACGGGTAGAGGGGGGACTTCTGGTTTCTGGACCCAGGTAAAGTGCATGGCACAAAGTGAGGGACACTGATTCTTCACTGCAGGCATGAGAGTCAAAAAGGGAGAGTGAAGGAAATAGAAGAAAGAAAAGAGTCAGCCAGAGCAGAGACAGACAAGGAAAGAGATGGACAGAGTGCATTGCTCAGGGTGCATTACCTTAAGGATAATTTCTAATGTAAAGATACTAGTGAAGACATAGTCTGCATTGCCTAGGATCTGAAAAATAAGCATAATTGGATTAGTGGCTCTGAGAGTGAACCCAACACCAACAGGAGCATGTGTGTTAGCGACAGACAGCAGCAGAGAACAAAGATAGGCACAAGGGAGGGAGGAAGAGGAGGAGAGAGAGCTGAGGGCCTTTACCTTCAGAGCGATTTCAATGGTGAAAATGGTAGTAAAAACAATATCAAAATAAAACAGAATCTGCAAAACAAAAAGAAACAAGGAGGGATGGGGAGGGGGTGGGAGAAAAGCAGGATGGGAGGCCAGGTCAGTGGATGTTCACCAGAAACAGAACCGCACTTCAAAAGGAGGTGCACACATTGAACCTTTTTACACAGGGACAGATGGAAAGACTTGGGGAACGAGTGGCACATAGTTAACACTGGATCTCAACGTGGGGCTGGCACAGGTAGCTCAGGGTGGAGACCCCAGACAGGTGAGGGGAGCTTCAGGGAGAGGCCTCAGCTGGTCTAGGCAGCATCTGGCTGAACGTTTTTCTCATTAACCCAACTTATTTACAAATCCAAATCCAACCAATGGGATGTTTGTCAAAAAAAGCAGAGATTTTTTTTTTAAAGGGAATTTAAATGCTTAACTCTCTTTGGTGTGACTGAACCAGCGAGCTTCCTACATTAGTAGAAATCTATATGAGTATCCACCCTTTGGGGCATAGGAGGGCATCTCCCAGGCCTACCGAGGCTGAGGACAGGCTACAGGATGCCACGCTTTATTACATCTCAAGGGATAGATCAGAGGTAGGGTCAATACCAGTCAACCACAGGAAGAGCCTGGACCAAGTGGGCTCCAGGACCTCTGAGTGTTTTAACATATGTATGGCTTCAGATCATGGGCTCTTTTCTTCATGCCCATCTGGCTGGGACCTGATAAAATTCCTATTCTAGTTTTTGATGTTCACCAGAGCCTTGGGTGGGTCTCCATATTTAGATCAGCTGTGCAGAAGATCATGGAGGTTCTCTATTATATTGGCACTTATGGGCAACTATCTACCAACACTTCTCAGGATATACTGAGAGCAGGGTAGGAAGTCAGTGGCCACATTTTACTAAGTTTACAGGTTATTAGAGTTTCCTGGGGAACATCCACAGGCAATCAAAGGCCTGACCTTTGCCAATTATCAAACCAGCCTGAGACATTGGGCACATGCTCTTTTACTTGCTTGTGGTCCCAAGATGGGTTTTTCTCAAAGCCCTAATCTCTGAAAGAACTGTTTGTGTGCATCTGATTATGAGGTTTAGAACCAAGCTCCTGATTAACAATGAAGTCAGCAACAGAAGCTGCGGGCCCAGTCACACTCCCAGAGGGAGGGGTGCAGAGAACAAAAGGGAGTACATACATGGTTCCTGAAGGAGGTGTGCTGGACGGGGTCCTCAGCAGCCAGGGAAATGCTGCTGAGCAGAATGAAGAAGAGGATCAGATTGGTGAAGATCGTGTGATTGACAATGCGGTGACACTGAAGGCGAAACCTGAGTGGGAAGGAGGCAAGGAGAGAGATGTGTCAGGAAAGATGTGGACACAACTCCTTGGGTTTCAGGAGCTGCTCCCCTCAATTCCTTCCACCAGCTTACCAAGGTGCTTATTGGTTTGTGGAGTGGTCTTCAGCCTGAAGTCTTACTGTTGCTGGGTAATGACAAGGCCCCATGATGTATATCTCTATACAATTTAGTTCTGAGGTACCTTCACAGGCAGAAACCTTTGACATTTTAGAGGGTTACATCTGAGATATTTGGGAATTTCTGGATTTTCAAATATTGCTGTGACATTAACAAATGGCCTTTGCTTGAGAGTTCTTTTCCTCATCATTTGGAAAAAGAATCACTTTATAAGATCTATGTCATATTTTTATGCACAGGGAATAATAGAGCTATCTGGCTAGGGGATTTGCCCTGTGTAATAGCTTCAAGTGTGCAACTTGATTCCACATCTCAGCACAATTGCAAAGAACTACCCATTGGGACCTCTGGACATTCATGGATGGTACCTGGTATACCTAGAGTGTGTTGCCCACTATCTCATCTTAACAACAGCACAGAACCACCTTCATTTCACAGATAACAATGCTGAAATCCAGGAAAGAGAGGCTTGCCCTCAAACATAGCCTATACTGTTGGGGAGTCAGGGCTTGGTCCCAGGCCTTCAGACTTCTACTGATATCATGATGGTTGACTCAATCCTCTAAGAGACTCACCTGCTGTAGAATAATCAAGACCTGGGAAGGACAAATTCTGAGACAATGCTGGTTTCATGAGACTTAAGAGCGGTCTACAAGGATCATTTCATTCAAATCAGCAAGCTAACGACCCACCAGTCAACCAACCAAATAATCAACCAGTCAGTTGGCCAACAATCAACCAATTAACCAACTGATCAACCCACCCACTGAGCTGAGGTCTGTGCATGGGCAGCATGGAAGGGCAGAACTGCCTAAGGGGAGATGCCCATAACAGCATTGCTGCCAGGAAACTGAATGTCAAGGCAGTCTTGAGGTGAGCCTGGAACTCTGAGGCTGAGCCCTCAAGGGACACTGGAAGAAAGCAAGCTTCCCCAATCCCAGTTGATATAGACTTTAGGATTCTCACCAATGAAAAGATCATGGAACACACAAAAAGACAAAACTACCTTTAGGGAAACTAGAAAGAACAATACATAACTGATTTAGACTCCAAAAGACCAGGCATTGTGCATATCAGTATAAAATGCAGAATAACTATATTTGAAATACTTAATGGAATAAAAGACTCAATCACAAATGTGATGAATCAACAGAAACTAAAAGATATAGACAGACGGATCTAAAAAAAAAACAACATATGGAATTAACCAGAATGCAAGAATAGTCAATGTAAAAAAATTGATTTAAACAGTAATATAAAATTAAGAAGAGAATTAACAAACAGAAAAATAAATCAGAAGAAATCATCCAGACAACTGAAAGAGAGGCAAGGAGATGAAAGACATGGAAGGCACCTTAAGAGAGAGGGAAGAGAGGGACGGACAGAATGAGAAGGTCTAGCTCGAGTCTAATTGGAGTGTGGGGTGAAGGAACAGAGAATTGAGCAGAAGCAAAAGTTAATGATTATGGCTGCCAATTTTTAAGAACTGCAGAAGAACACAAATCCAGAATACAAATACAGAGTGAGGAAGTATAACATATGCTAAGCAACACAAGAGAAACCTATGCCTCAACACAAGGTAGTAAAGGGTTAGTTATTTACAAAGGAATAATAATTAGAAAGCCAGCTAACAGACCAAAACTGTTAGTCCCAAATTATACCCATAGCTAAACTACCTTTTAAGAATAAGAAACGAAAAAAATTACAGATGAATACAGGCCAAGTGGACCATAAAGGAACTAAAAAACTTCTATAGAATGTGCTTTAAAAGGAAGAAAATGTTTGCAGAAGAGACTGACATGCATAAAAATGGTCAACAAATGAAATGGTAAGTTGTGTGTAAATCTAAATATACTCTGCCTAAATCATCATCATCATCATCATCATCATCATCATCATGATGTCTAACTTGTTGGGTTCTAAATAAAGTTCAGGACTAAGCAATAATATGTAAATTGGAAGGAAATTAGTGAGTTAAAATACTCTAAACTCCTATTGTACAGAAGGAGGCTTAAGATATTGGTTAGTTTTTCATTTTGTTAAGTTAAATAAACTTAGTAAAGTGTCAAAGGTAACCACCCAAAGAATAGTAATAGAGTTTATACATTTCAAAACCTGGAGAGAGCTCAGCATGGTGGTGCATACCTGTAAGCCTGGAGACTTGGGAGACTGAGGCAGGAGCATAGCAAGTTTGAGGCCAACCTTAGTAATTTAGTGAGACCTTAAGAAACTTAGTGAGATTCTGTCTTGATATAAAATAAAAAAGGGTAGGGATGTAGCTCAGCAGTAAAGCACCCCTGGGTTAAATCCCCAGTACCCAAACAAAAACAAAACCAGAAACAAACACACACACAAAACCTAGGGAAGAAAGAAATAAAAGCAGGGGCTTGGAGTGTAGCTCAATAATATAGCACGTGGTTAGCATGTACAAGGCTCTGAGTTCAATCTCCAGCACCAGCAAGTAAATAAATAAAATAACATTAGTATAAATAAGCAAATATACGTAAATAAATGCAGATCATCTGATTCAGAGTCCAGGACTCTCTTCCCTGACTCGGAGGCTGTTTACATAAGTTGAGGGAGTTGAGAGAGTCCCAGGTTCCTTGCACAGGTACAGGTAAGACACAGGCATGGGCTGGGTCTGTATCCCAGAGGCAGCGGAGTCCACCCTCCCCACCATTCACACACACCTGTTGTTGGGGCTGAAGATGAAAAACGCACTGGCTTCTGGCATGGGCACTGCCTTTTCCTTAAGGTGCAGCTCAGACAGTGGTCGTGGGCGGGGCCCAACAGGCATCTCGGGCTCCTCCTCATCCTCTTCTCCTGTAAGAGAAAAACCACCATTTTAAATAATTACCACTTCTCCGCTGATTCTTACCACTGTGCACCTTTTTCCTGAGACTTTCCTAGTGGTAGGAATCAAGACATCATTTGCATCCCTGAACGTGTAGAGGATCAATCAAGACAGACATTCTGGGGACTACTGGAGTTCATGTCTGAGAGGGACAGACTTCTCTGGCAGTACTCAATAAGAGGGGTTGTAAGTAAAGTGGAAAACTTGTCCTAGTTGACTTCAACTGCCTAGTTTTAAAACTGAAATTTCCACAGTCCAAGACACCACCCAGTCTTGGGCTAGTGGGCATGCTTGGTCATCCTGGTTGAAAGGCACTAGAAAGGGGACTAGATAAAACCAAGCATTGCCATTTTGGCTGCCATGAGGAAAGGCAATTGCTTGGTTTGTCAATCCCTTACAAACAAGTCCATTCTTGAAAGTTCCAGGAATTTAAAACCAACACTTTCCCATTTATGAAACTCTAACAGAAATCATGTGCTCTAGGGGTACCCAGACAACAATGCTGACTGTAAAGGCCCCTTCATTAGAAGGCTTAGATACTGACTCCAGTCCTTTGTGCTCCTAGCCAGTGGCCTCATTAATGTAGACTGAAGTCAAAAAGCTTGCTCCTTTGCTTGCAGCCCATTGCCCATGGGAAGAATCATTACATACTGTGAAATGCACTCAGACATGTCCAGCACGGGAGAAGAAACAGGATGAGTTAAGAACACAAGCTCTCCAGCCAAGTGCCTTTTGCACATTGTGACTCTGTTTCTTTCTGTCTATGGATGTTTTATTTAACCTCTTTGTGCCTCATTTCTCCATCTAAGTCAGAACAATAACAGCATATAGGCATCTAGAATGGTGTCTGGCACATGGTGACTGCTGTATTTACTTTCATTGCCCTCTCCATCCATAGGACAGACTCTAAGCTTGAGAATTAGGGCTCAACATCTTTTTCAGTCTGATCTGTAACTGCTGCTATGCTCTATCAAATTGTCTACTCCCACCCACTGAGATTGGCTAGTGTACCCCCACATTCATGCCTAACCAGAACCTCCAGAATATGCCCTTATTTAGAAATATGGCCTTTGTGGATGTAATTAGCTATGATGAAGTCATGTTGGACTAGGGCAGGCCCTAAATCTACTATTGGTTTTTCTTGTAATAAACATTCAGAGACACAAAGGCACACGCAGGGGAAAAGGCCACATGAAGACAGAGCCAGAGATTGGAGTGGTGCGTCTACAAGCCCAGGATTGCTGGCAACCACAAGAAGTTGGGAAGAAGGGAGACAGAATACGTCCATAGAGCCTTCCAGAAGGAGCACGGCCCTGTTGACACCCTGATGTCAAACTTTAAGCTTTAGAATGCTGAGACCTGTTTGAGTTGCCCTTCATCTCCTTCTCTGCAGAATTAGTGAGGACTCCCACTTCAGACAGTATCCTTTATCTGGCTCTCCTGAGTACCTGGGCTCTGGGGAACCATCTTCCTCTGTGAATTCCAGCAGCACCTTGGACCGCTCACATTTATAAGGCACTGAGAACACCTCAGATGCCTGGCTTTAAATGGGTCTGTCCCGTCTTTCTATGTGCTGAAAATTCTAGAAGGAAGAACCACACCCTGATTTTGATGATGATTAAACTTCTACAACTTCAAAAGAAGAGGGGCAGGCGGAGACTCATCTGTTATGGGAAGAGCATCTTAGGAACCCAGCCATGCCTTGCATGCTCTCTCTTCTTCTGGTTAAAATGAAGCCAGGTGTGGGCGAGCAGCTCAGTGGTAGAGCACTTGCCTAGCACCTGGGAGGCACTGGGTTCCATCCTCAGCACTTGGTGGAGGGTGGGAAGCCAGGTAGTGCAGAGACAAACATTCCTGGCACAAAAGTAATTCTTTATCAAGTAAGAAGCATTTAGGCACCAAGGCTTTTTTTGGAGAACCAGCAGAATATATCCATAAATCAGATCCTATCCCTAGGGTCATTAGAGCTGACCAGCAAGGCAATTAATATTTTCAGAGGAGAGGTGCAAGATAAAAAAATTGTGTGAAAGCAAAGAATTGAAGCTTTCTGATTCCTGAACCTTGCTGTGTAAAAGAAAATAGAATAAGTAAAACCAGCATTGGTCCAAATCGTATTCACAGGTGAAATTTAACAAGGAAAGATTTAAAATTTCTGCCCAAGTGTTTGTATTCTTTTCAGTTTTGCTCTAAATGGGCCAACATTTTTGTATTCATGACAATTTGATAACAGGTCACTTAATGCTTATTGGAATCAAGTATATTTATAGAAAACCATATTTATTAGCGTTGTGCCAATGTAACGTCCTAAGGAATGGTTCTGAACACTCTTGCATCAGCATAGACTGTCTTGCTGCTTAGGAAGCTCTACCCTGTCTTCCATTCCTGGGGTAAGCAAGGCAGTTGCTCCATCAGATACACCTGCTGAACTGCAGGCATCATTCTTAGAGGACATGATTTCTGAAGGACAAACTCAAATTTGTAAAAGGACAGAAATTTGACAGCATGTGATGCCAGCAGGTATCATGGATAAAGAGGGAGGCTGACAGATCAGGAAAGGTCAGATGAAGTTCATTTGGGGGCTGGCAGCTGAACCACCTGGACCCTGACTCCTGAATGCCAGTAAAATTCCTTCAGGATCTTTATTTTCTCTTTTCTGTTCTTGGGGGTTTGGAAAAAAAAGTGTGATGAGTCAGGTAATGCTGCTGCTTTTCTGAATGGCAGTTTAGAGTATTTAAAAGTGAAAGCAGGGGCTGGAAATGTGGCTCAGTGTCAGAGCCCTGGGTTCATCCCCAGAGCTGAACACACAAACCGAACAAGTGAGCAAATAGGAAGCACTGGACAGCTGAATACCCCATCTTAGTCTTTGGCATCCCTTGCCTCCTCCTCATTTGATACTCAACGTTTGTCTCTGCAATTTTGCTTAAGGACAACTGGAATAAAAACATGATTTGCCTAGTGCCTACAGAACACTGAACCCAAGGTTGAGAACACAAAGCCATGGTTCTTGTCCTCATGGAGCTTATATTTCTCAGCATGTGAGCCTGCTAGCAACCCAAGGGTAATGCATGATTAACAAGGACCAAACATCCAGGACAGAGCTCTGCCTGAAAGTATAGGAAGAGAAGTCTGAGGGTGCAGTTTCTGTACCAGATATCTGCTCTGTACTGGCTCAACTAAAAAACCTGCCATGCTTTATTCTTCTTTCTCTCCCTCCAACCTCTAAGCCATTGATAAATCCAGATGGCTCTATCTGCAAAATAAATTCCAAGTCCAAGTTCTGCCCTTAACCATCAACTGCCCCCTTCCTCACATGGCACCCAGAGTGAAGTGAGTCCTTCAAAGGATAAGGACCTTTGGTGACTGTCCAGGTGCATGGTCTTTGATTTATTTAATTTATTCAGATAAATTAATAAATTAAAAGCAGAATGTTGTGGTTTGAGACCTTCCTGGTGTCCCATCTCATCTCCCAGTGCTCTCCCTCTGTATTTGACTGTGTGGTCAGTAAAGGTTTTTGTTTTTTTTTTTAGGATGTGACATTTGGGCTAAAATCTGAATAGCCTGAAGGACTTGAACATTTCTGTACCAGATATCTGCTCTATACTGGCTCAACTTGGAGGTGCAAGTTGAGGTGCACTAGCCCACTTGGAGTCCTTTGTGGCCAAGTACATACCACCTAAGAGATTATGCACCCACTCTTCCCTCCACCCAGAGAGCTCATCCCTCTGACTTCCATGTTCAAGTCCTTCAGGCTATTCACATTTCAGCCCAAATGGCACATCCTCAAAAAAGCCTTTACTGACCACACAATTAAAGCAGCTCTGGTTTGTTTTCTTGTATGTTTCTCCATTGAAATGTAAACTTCAGGAGGGCAGGGCCTTCCCGGTCTTGCCTAGACACGTATCCCGGGGGTCTGCACAGTGCTTGGCTTATAGTAGGTGCTTGATAAGTACTTATCAAGTGACACATTATCTCCAAGGTTCCTTCCAACTCTCAGTGTCTATGACAAGAGTATAGCTCTGAATCAATTTCTTTAACCTTTCCGACTCTCCCTCCCTCCCAGTCAAGACCCCCCTTTCCCATGAAGTCCCCCTGCTGACTTGACCACATCTCACTGCCCTTTTTTGTGCTTGGACCCCTTAAAATGATAAGAGCATCCCCCAGAACCTCTGATGCCATATGACAAAATTTCTGGTGTCACCTGCTTTTTTAAAAAAGCAAATGTGTACTCATTCATTTCAAGTTCTTAGAGGTTCTTAGGAACAACTGTATTTTCATTCAAATAAATTAATAAATTAAAAGCAGAATGTTGTGGTTTAGATATGAGATGTCCCCCAAAAGCTCATGGGTGAAACAATGCATGAGTTTTCAGAGGTGAAATGATTAGATTGTGAGAGGTTTAACCAACTAGTAGATTGATCTTCTGATATTCAGGATAAACTGGGCAGTAACTGCAGCCAGGTAGGGTATGGTTAGAGGTTAGAGGAAGTGTCAATGTGGGTGTGACTTTGTGGTTTATATTTGCCCTTGACGAGAAGAGCTATCTCTGTGCTGCATTGTTTTGAGCTGCTTCATGCCTATCCACCATGACGCTCCATCTCACCTCAGGCCCAGAGTTATGGAATTGGCTGACCATGGACTGAATGTCTGAAACTGTAACTCAAAATAAACTTTTCCTCCTTTATTCTTTTCAGGTCTTTTGGTTTCAGCAACACAAAAGCTGACTAAAACACAGAATTATCTATTTTCCTTTGCATAAAGGTTTTCTTTGTGCATGATGGATGCATCTGTCTACTATAAATTGAACATCCCTAATCTGAAAATCTAAAATCTGAATCCTGAATTTGAATTTTGGAGCATTTCAGATTTCAGATTTTCAAATTAGGAGTGGTCAAATGGTCAAGTTCATGCAAACATTCTGAAATCCCAAATACTCGAAAATCTGAAGCCTTCCTTGTCCCTGGCGTTTCAGATAAAGGATAATCAACCTGTAGCACGGTGGGATAATCTTGAGATGACAATCAATGGATAACATTTTTGAGACTGAACAGAGTGGGGAGGACCCTAGGGTCACTGCAGGGTTCTCGGACCCCTTTGTGTAATTTAGAAATAGACCTTCTGGGTGGGACTAGTCCACTGAGGGCTGGAGTCCAGCTCCCTTTCAGCCACCATGTTGCATGCTTTGGTACAGCTGGACAGGTAAATGCAGCAGACCTGGTGAGAGGGTGAGTGAGGGGAGCAGGGAAAGTGAAACAGGAGGACAGTGTGGAAGTGCTCTAGCATTGGGCCTTCCTGTCTAGGAGCTGGGCTGAAGCTCCCTTCTGTGGGGTATCTGCATGACGAGGTACAACAATGACCAGCTGCCCACAGGCTGCAAAAGCAGGAGGGGCCACGGTCAGGGACCAATGGTAGGTCAGGATCTTTGCCTTTCATCATTCCAGAAAAGCAACGGGAAAGAGAGACTGACAAGACCAGAGACATCAGGCCAATGAACCTTCAGAAGCATCTCGGGGAACTTCTGCTGCACTTGGCACAAAATGACCCAGGAGATGACCTGCAGAGGCGTGGTCATCACGGGGGTAGAGCTGGGAGACACAGCTACTTGGCCTTCAAGGGGCCAGGGACTGTGTGGAGCCACCGACTTTAGGAACATGCTGCTTTTGGGCCTCCTGAGCAAGAAAATGAAAATCAGGGATGGAGAAAAAACAAGGGGCCTGGGAACTGGGTTCACCACCCAAGAGGAAGTGGTAGTGGGGTGAGGGCAGCCTCAATTGTCTACGGCCTAGAGGTCTCAAACTTAGGGTGCTATAATTTGTATCTTGAATGTCCCTCAAAGGCCCATGAAGGTTTGGTCCTCAGCCTGGCACTTTTTGGAGATGGTGGAACCTTTAGGAGGTGGGGCCTAGTAGAAGTACATTAGGTCACTGGAGGGGTGCCCTCGAAGGGGATATTGGGACCTTGGCCCTTCCTGTCTGTTTTTCACTTCTTGACCACCACAGGTGAGCCACTTCCTGCTATGTGCTCCCCCTGTAATGTGCTGCCTCACCACAGACCCAAAGCAACAGTGCCAACTGCTCCTGGACTGAAACCTCTGAAACACTGAGCCAAATAAACCTTTCTTCCCCTTAAGTTGATGATTTCAGATATTTTATTATAGCAATGGAAAGCTGACCAACAGCAAAGGTAAAGAGATAGATGGAACCAAGAGAAATAAAGGCGAAGGTCTGCAGAAAATTAGAGAAGAGTGGCCCCAGGATCACTCCAAAAAGTCTAAAGAATCTGAGGAATCAGATTCTGTTCCAATCAGATTCTGTTCTGTTTCAGCTCTGTTCCAAAGCACAAGCATCCCAAGAATCCACAAAGCCACCCCAGACATGTCATGCTGGGTCAGCAGAGAGACATTTCTATGATAGCTCACTTAGTGACAGTGTCCTCATTAGTCCTTTTTCTCCTTGATGTTTCCTCTTCTATTTCATTACAGCAACAAAAAAGAGAAAAGCCACTAGTCTACTTAGGACAACAGAATTTGAGGTTGTTGTCACAGATGCAAGAGGTATGTTATCCTACAGCTGTGTGGAATGGACAGGTCCGGGCCCAACTATATCTAGATGTGTGTATGTGTGTGTGTGTGTGTGTGTGTGTGTGTGTGTGTGTGTGTGTGTGTGTTTAAAGACCCTCAAGTTTTGTACAGGGAGGCTGTGTCTTGGAGGCCAGGCAAGCGTGGGACGGGATCTTATTGGGGCCCAGAGGGATTTGTTCTATTATTCTCTCTCTCTCTCTCTTTCTCTTTTCTTTTTTTACAGTGCTGGGGATAGAACCCAGGGCCTTGTGCATGCTAGGCAAGTGCTCTACCACTGAGTTTCACCCTCAGCCCCTATCACTGTCTTTCATTTTAAACTTTTAAAACACAATAGTAGATTTGCCTGTTTTATGTAGATTTTTCTCCATGCTCTGCCCAGAACCATATATATCCTCCTAAGCTAGCACACCCAAATGGGTTTTTCTGCTATCAGGCCCTCTTCTGCATGGAGTGAGTTCTATCTCTTCTCACTTAAATAAATCATGCTCCATTTTCTTAAAAAGAAAAGAAACAAAGCAAAACAAAACAAACAAAACCCCACAGAAGTAGAGACTTTATAGTGAACCTCCCTATGCCCAGTTTCAACATGTGTTGCCATTTCACTGATTTTGTTTCACTTACCTCTTCTGCTCCCCATTTTTTTGGGGGGCATTTAAAATTAATTTCTAAATATTTCAGATATAAACACTTAAGTGTTTTAAACACAGAAATATCATAATATTATACCAATGTGATTAACAAAATCTACTCAAAATCACTTAGTTCCCAGACCATATTCAATTTCCCCCTAATAATCTAAAAAAATCTCCTTTTAAAATTTAAGTTGCTTTTTCAGGATTCAGAAAAGATCCTTCCATTGCATTTATTAAAACTTCTAGCAAGTTCCTGAAATTCTGTGATAGATAGCTCTCTTCATCTCCCCTAGAAGGGTTTTAGGACTTCAATAGGCTCAGTGTCCCAACAGGAAACATTCTACTCTCTTTTGTGTCTAAGTCCAAGACACCAAATCTCACTTCCCTGCAGGGAGAGCAGAGTGATGGCCTGGTGAGCAGGGAGCCTGCTTCCAGGATTAATAGAAAACACCTCTACTGTCTTTGCAGCTCAGGTAGAGAGCAGGTAGAAGGAAAGCGACAAAGAAAACCTAACTTTACTCAGGATCACAGAAGGTTTTCAGCTACCCAACTTGGTTACTAACCCCAACACAGCCTAACCTACACAGAGAAGGGTCAGTGAAAGCCACTGTGGTGGTATATGTTGACTTTCAGCTTGAAGCTGGTGATAATCATCTAGGTTAGAGGAAGGCAAGCCCTAAGATTGTCCTGGGGACTCAGCTACAGGAAGCAGAGAGAGATAACGTAGGATTCTGACATTAAAACCTTTCTAAAGGAGACCACCTGCCAGTTCACACATCTGATCGATGCACAAGAAGATGGTGTCAGCAAGAGCTCTTTTTATAATAAGAGACCTGAAAGCATCTTACTGAGCAACAAGTGGGACATCTGTGGTGGCAGCTGTCTTGGTACTCAGTAATATCTCCTGAGCAAGGGCAGATTTGGAATTGCCTATCATTATTAGGCAAGCATAATGCTGCAACATATGCTATACCAATAAATTACATGAATTAATAATTATCATATAGCACATGATATAATAAAACCTTAATTGCTCGTAGAATCCAGCTTCCAAAGGACAAAAAGAGGAGTATAGATGGAGTTTGGATAATGGATACTCCAACACACTTAGATCGAAGGAAGAAGTACCAACATTCTACAGGGCAGCAATAGGGGATGGGAGGACCATAGATCCTAGCATGTTATATATTTTATGAAGAACTAGAATAGATTAACTCCAACGCTGCAAACACAAAGTAATGCTAAGGAGGTAGAAATGTTAATTGCCCTGACTTGATCACTATGTATTTTATACAAATATCAAAATAATCACATTGCTCCCCATAAGTATGCAAAATTATTTACATGTTAATAAAAATGTTAAAGACATTTAAGGACATAGAGATGTTAATTATTCTGAATTGATCATTACGCACTGTAGGCACATATTGAATTATTAATAGGTACCCTATGCATTTGTACAATTGAAATAATGACTTAAAAGTAAGTAAAAATAATTACAAATTTTTTAAAAACACCACTCAAATGAGTTCTCAAATGCATTCAGATATTACTATTATAAGAAAACCAGAATGAAAGTTTTCCCCAAGATGGCAATGGTAATGCTTCAATATTCAGCCAAGATGTTCAGCAGTGCAAGGTACTTGGGGAGGGAAAGTGGGACCATAGGTCCCCAGTGCACGGCGCATGGCTATGAGGTTTAGATCTCTAGCCTCAGCTTCCTGATCTCAGGGTCAGACAGTGTGACAGGTACCTGCAGCCTCTGGGTTCGGGTAGGAACTTTTATCCTCATTCTCATTGGGTTGGAGGTCGTCCATGTTGATCTAGGCAGTAGAGGAGATAAGGAAGAAGAATTAAGTCAGATAAGTGCCACAGTTTTCAGGGCTCAAAATGGACTTGAAATTGCATGATATTAAGTGACTGAGCTCAAATCTATACCCTTGTCAGTGTGCACAACCTCTGAAGACATCAGCAGAAGGCTGGGTTCAACCCACCATGCCTTCTCATCATCTACTGAGCCCTCCTGTTCCAGCCCCATGGCTTCTCTGTTTCTTCTGGATAGCTTCCTTCTTTCTCCATTTCTTGGGTGACTGGCCTTCCTTCCTCAGTGATGGTCCCACAGCTCCTGGAAGGAGGCAGCTACTCACCTTGGTGGTGGGGGGAGACTCTCCATCAGCAGTAATGGATTTCAGCTCAATTTTCTCCTCCTTGGTTTCCTCCACTGCTGGCTTCTCCACCACCTCTTGTTTCTTCTCTGGGCTGGCAGTCCTGGCCGGTCAGCAGGAAGGAAAAAAAAAAAACAACAGAAATAAATGTTTACTGGAGTGATAGGAGGCAGTGTAGACAGGAACTACCTTGTGTTCGGTAGGGTCATCGGGCGCAGAACCCCTGGATCTACATTCATTGATCTTTTCCCAGGGTTTGCTGCAAACATGGCTTAATCCCAAGTGCCACTGGATTGAGCCATCTCTGGCTCTGTCTGGCATTTTGGTGGTGTCTTGTGGCTACTCAGTGGCTTCAGTCCCTAAATCAGGGACTGTTCTGAGTCCTGTTGAGGATTGGTTCTGGGAGGAACTCTACTTGATACCCAGCAGAGGCATGGCCAAGGACAGTCCTATCTAGATAGCAATGGAGCACAATGCGGGACCCAACACTGGGTCTTGTGCCTTCCCAACACTGCACATGATACAAAATAGCGAGGAAGCACTGCTCCTTAAGCTGCAGCTATTTCCCCTCTGAAGGCTGCCTTCCTCCCCTCTCCTCCCATGGCTTCAAATCTCAAAAGCAACCCCCCGACTTTCTAGACAGGTAAGGAAAGGCAGCACCTTTGTAGAGACTATCATTCATGATGGTCCTTGTTTTTGAGCAATGCCTAGGCATTATGGGAGAGGACCAACTTACAGTAGGAAGCCCCGGACCCGGTCCCTTCCAGGAGGATGACGCCTAGCGGTTGGTGTCATGCCCCTCTCCCACCAGTGAGAATGGCATTCCTGAACTGGGCTGGGTGAGCTTAGAGGGTTACCTGGCCAGCTTCTTTCTCTCTTTCTCTTCTTCCTCTTCCTTTTGGGCAGAGGTGAGACTCTCAGCATCAGCCAGGTTGTCCACAGCAATGGCCAAGAATACATTCAGTAGGATATCTGTTTGTGTCCATTCTTAAAGAAAATGACCTTGGCCTTGGGGTGTTTGATGGGCATAGGGAGCAGGGAGGGTGCAGGACATGCAGAAGTAGAGTTCCCCAGCAGAGGCTCACTTCGAGGGGTTCAGAGCCCAACTGTGTCTCTTCATCTCTCCCTTCCCCATGACCCTGCTCACTATCGGGGGTTCTCTAGGTGGCTGAGGTCAGGAGAGCTTGCAGGCTGGAGTGGGGCTGGGAGTGAGGCAGCAGGCCCTGCCTTGCTCTTTAATTGCTGGGTTTCATTATTGGTTTCCCCACTGAGATGACTGGCTGTAATTGACATTATAAGCAGTATTGTCTCTAGCAGAATGCAGAATGCTCTTAAGAGCGGTTCATTATAACTGGGAGCTGAGGAGGTGGCCTGTACCTCTGCCAACTCTTCATGTGAGCCTGTACATACAAAGACCCTTGGAGGGTTTGGCTGGAGCTGGCCAAAAGCTTGGGAATTCCTAATTAAAGCAGTCATTTGTCTGTTTCTCCCCACCCTGCCTCCCCACTTCTTACCAACACAAACACTGTGGATCAGAAAACTGCAAAAGAGATACAGCTTAAAGGATCTTAAAGTTAAATTGATCTTCACCCCTGAGCACCCAGAAACTCACACCATTTCTAGGACAGGGAAACTGAAGCCCAAGCAGGTGAAGGGCTTGTCCAAGGAGGTTACTGAACCCCTCACCCTTGGGCCCTGGAACACGGTAGGGGCTTTGCATGCATCATCCTGTTCAAACTCACAATGACCCCTTAAGTAGCAATTACTATTATTCTTTTATAGGTGGAGTATCCCTTATTTGAAATGCTTGGGACTTCAAATTTTTTAAGATTTTATAATATTCACATATAAATAATGAAATTTTTTGGTAATGGGATCCAAGTCAAAACATGAAATACATTGTTCACATATACCTTGTACATATACCTGATGGCAATTTTATATAGTATATTAAATAATTTTGTGCATGAGATTTATGATGTGGAGTTTCCCACTAATGGTGACATGTTGATCAGAAAGTTTTGGATTTTGGATTTTTGGCTTCTGGGTGTTCAACCTATAGAGCATTTGCAGATACCAAGGTACAGAGCCTTTAATTTGTTGGAGGTCTTGAGCTGGTATAATGTGAAGCTTTGTCTGTAGTCTTAGTGTTTGTGTCTTCTGCATTAGCTGAAGCTGACCCCTGAGACTTGGGCCAAAGCTGTTTCTATTTACCACCCAGGTTCTGGACACAACTCCCATGGGGTTCCAACCAGGAGGAGAAAAGAAGGACCTGGGTTTGAGATCCTGGGACATGCTCTTAGCTGGGACCAGGAAGGATCTGTTTGGTCTGCCTGTGACTAAAGTCCTGGAGAACAGGTTCAGAGAGAGGAGTGCTGACCAAAAGCAGGGAGGAGAGATGAAGGTCATTTCAAGGATGATGTCCTCCTTCACTAAGCAGGTGTGACAGCCCCAGGGCTGTCAGGGGCCCCATCCCTAGGGTCCTTAGTATCCTAAGTCTGTGTGAGTGGCTGCACTGGCCACAAGGCCCAGGGGGCGACATCCACCTAGCTTACAATCAGGACGTGCCTCCTGGAGTTGAGTGACGCTGCAGCCTGAACAGATTCAGGAACATCAGGGTACATTCTCTCCTATGCCAAAGCTGTGGGCTTCCACCCAGACCCGCCTCCATGCTAAAATGATTCTAGGCTGGGCCATGTTTTCTTCCCAGGGAAGCCTTCCCCAGCTCTCCCCGGGTCCCTGTGGATGGCAACCAGTGTTCAGGCAGAGCCAGGGCCTGCAGATGACACCCAGGTGGCATTGTGCTGCAGGCTGAGGGTGGGGGCAGCAGGGGTTGGGGGCAGCAACAAAGGATACAATTTCCACAGATGAAGAGGATGATGAAGTAAATACAGACTAACATCCCTGGAAAAGAGGGGCCGCCATAAGCCATGATCCCATCATACATCACCGAATTCCAGTCCTCCCCGGTCAGGATCTGAATGACACATTCCCACCAATAAGGGACACAGCGTTAGACCAACAGCAAACCCCAAAACTCCCCTGCCCTGCCCCAGTATGCGAACACAAATCTCTTTTCCATTTTTATCTCTTCTTTTAATCCCCAATTCTCCTCCCCAGGGTTACTAGGCTATTGACCTGAGCAAGTTTGACTCTATCCTTAGACAAGATGCATGGCCACTGGTAAATATTACTTGGGGAGGGACTGAGAAGGCGTCGTGGTCAATATCTCTCCTACTATTTATATCCAGTGCATGAGATGATCACCGTTAGCCCTTTCTCTGGGGAGGGGGTCAGTGCCCCTTTACTGTGTTCATGGTGCCGGTGCCGTGCTACAGCCAATTGTCCCAAACATCAGACAATGGGCATCATCCTTAGATCCTGGCAACCCGCACATATTATTTATTTTTCTCTAGGAGTCAATCTACTCTTAGACTTAAATAGTGCTACTTTAGCCCTGCCGTAAGCCGAAATAGCTATGAAATCACAACTCTCTGAGTTACTTAGGTCTTTTCCCAAGGGCAAGCAAAAACAGAACCCCATCACTCTCCATTCCCCAAAATGAGCAGACTATTTTTCTTTTTTCTGTTTGGGCTTTCATGTAGATTTAATTTGACTAAAGGGTTATACGGCTAGGGGAGCATTTTTAAACGATTAGATTTTTTCTTCCAATGGTTTGCCCACCAGAGGAATTCCAATGGAGTTGGATGAGGGGAAACTACAAAAAGAGCTGGATACACCAGGGACCCTCAGGCCTGATCTAGGCTGGCCTTGTTCCCATTGAAAGGGTGACACTTTCCACCACCTTTTTCAAGGCTCCTTCTTCCTCCCCACCCACCTCCTCCACCACCGAACCACCCTCAGAATCCCAGCAGAGAAGAGTCCATACCTGAAACACAGTGAGGAGGGACTGGGGGAAGTTATCAAATGTGCTCCTCCGAGTCTGCATCTCATCAAAGTTGAACTTTCCTCCAAAGAGCTGCATCCCCAGGAGGGAGAAGATGATGATAAAGAGGAAGAGAAGCAGAAGCAGGGAGGCGATGGACCGCACAGAGTTCAGTAAGGACGCCACCAGGTTGCTTAGGGAGTTCCAGTACCTGAGGACCAGATGAGGGAGGTCAGCCTGTTTTCCCTCTCCTTCCTTCCCATCAATCCTCATCTACGTGCCCACTGAAAGTTCTCAGATGAGTCTCCACCACCTGCTCTTTTTCCCTTTCCTGGGGCAGGGGTGGTGGTGGTGGTGTGAACTGGACTCACAATCAGAGTGCAGAGCTAGTAAGTTCAGGTTCCAACATCAGTAATGTGTAATGATGAAGAGATGGGGTGCTGGGGGTCAGAAGCCTGAGTTCCCACCCAGCAGGGCCAGCTGCTGGCTGCATATCCCTTTGGACAAGCTACTTAGTTTCCCTATTTTCTGCCTCCCCATCTGAAAAAATGGAGATAACAGTAGCATGTACTTCAACAGATAACTGGGATTTGCATGAGATAATCCCCCTCACCCCCAAAGGTCCATAGTATAGTGCCTGGCATGCAGTTGATAAAAGTTATCAACTTATTTATTGTTATTATCACTGTTCACTGTTAGTCTTTAGGTGTGGATTAAGAAGTATGAATTAAACTATCTGTGAGTAAGAGAGGGTGCAAGGGGGCTGGGGTTGTGGCTCAGTGTACACTTGCCTAGTACTCGTGAGACACTGGGTTCAATCCCCAGCACCACGTAAAAATAAAATAAAGGTATTATGTCCAGCTAATATATATATATATATATATATATATATATATATATATTATGCTAAACCTTGTTCTCTCTCTCCCTCTCTCTATATATATATAGAGAGAGAGAGGGAAAGAGAGAGGGAGAGAGAGAACAAGGTTTAGCATAGTTTCCCACATTTACCCTGTTCTAAGGATTGGTTTTTATAAAGCCATTTTTTTGGAAATTCTAATTCAGTAGCTGTAGTTGGGGGCTCAGATATCTGTATTTTTAAAAAGCATCCACAAGACACTGACAGCAGATAAGTTTGGGGAAACACTTATCATAACATTCCCCTCATACCCACTGGGGATAGCTCAGAGCAGGTGTCTTCTGTGAGCAAGGCTGAGAGCTCTTCCCTGAGCAGAGGGGGGTGGTAGGTGGGATACCTGGAGAAGAAGTCCCACTCCTTACGGTCACTGAGCCCCTCCACTATTTGTACAGAGGCCCCTCATGGCCCAAGGGAACCCCATTCTCTTGGAAGAGTGAGTGGAGGGAACCTACCAATGGCTTCTGGAGGTGGCTTGGGCACTTGTGCAATGGTTAGTTCAGGATCAGGAAATAGAATAGAGACACAGCTCCAAATGGGGCTGTCTGTGCCTTTCCCCACAGCTCTGCCTCTGTCCTGCCTGCCTTCCAGAACACGATTCTGATTCCCTCCTCTTAAGAGATTCCCACTCATCATCAACCCCTTCAGGGAACTGCTTTTGCTACTTCAGCACATGACGTGTGAACTAACCTGTGGCTGCCCCACAGCTGCACCCCAGCCCTGGCATTTCTCTCCAGAGAATGGTTCCATATTAAGGGAAAGAAGCAGATGGGCCAACAGTTTGGATGTAAACATAAACTTCCTCCCAACCTGGGTCTTTAATGTTGCTTTCTCCTTTGCAAAATCAGCCTGTCCCCACCTTTCTTTTGCCTGCCAGTCACAGTGGCCAAATTCAGGATTGGTTTGAAGACAGACCCACAGGATTTGCTGATGGAATGTGAGAGAGACATGAAGACTGACCCCTCCAGCTCTCATGTATGCAGAGCATTCACATGCATTTATTGCATCTGTATTTATATCTGTTCTATAAATGCTCTTACAAGTTTTTTATTTTTGGCAGTCTTAACTCACCAAAATAGACTCTTAGTTATTTTTTGAGTTATTTTTGTTTATTTGCTTGCTTGCTTGTTTGTTTCTCCTCCATGTCTCTCATCTTTGGGGAACTTTAAATAAGTCCTGCCCAACTCAGTATATGGATTCAGCTTGACATGAACACAGCCTTCTTGAGTCATAACTACCATGATTCCCCAGAGAAGCCCTAGTTGGTTTTTCCTGCATAGCTTTCTAGCAAACTATCAATCGACAAAACCATCAGTCATATGTGGGGCTATACAAGACCCTGATTTTAGGGATGTACCTGAGTCTTCCATGTTATCTTGAGATAATCCAGGTACATTCCAGGCAGGATAAAGCCACCTTTGTCCTAACCCATAAATACACCCCTCTTTCTGACCCAAATTGCAGGGGTCCTACTGGTCTTGCTGCCACTCAGGACTGTAAATCCCCCAATAAACTGCACTCTGTGCAGACCTAGATCTATTTGATGCTCTGTCTTGGGTCTCATATTTCAAGGCTGGATTGCTCTGAAACACCCAACAAAATTGATAGGTTGCTGGGATGTTGTGGTGATCTGCTTAGAGCAAGACGTAATGGAACCTCTTTAGGGGTAGAACACCCTCCCCACTTATATTTACACTTATTTTCCAAACCTACCTGGAGAGAAAAACCCACTGAGTGCTTTATCATTTCCTAAATGCTGATTCTCAAGTCTCACCTAGAACCATGGAATCATACTCTCTGGTGCTGAGGCTTGGTCTGCACAGAGTGCAATTTACCGAGGAACCTGCGGATGGAAGTGTGATCCTGGGTGGCAGTAAGACCAGCATGCTTGTTATGCAAGCTGGTCCAGTACTTGTCAATAAACTGGTATTGGGAACCAGTAACTTCAGAGCATATTGATAATGAAAATTTCCAGCTGAACAGAGGGGTGGGTATCTGCCTGTGGATTGAGGTCATAGGTCCCCGAGAGGTCCTCTGTGTGCTCAATTGCTGTGGAATATTCTAGACAAGTCTCAATATCCATGGAAGACTGGAGCCTTAATTACCATGAGGTACACAGACACATGGGAAATAATTCACTCTAGTCTTGTTCAGCTACATCTGACATCCATGAGACCCCTAGAGGGAGCCAGAAGAGAAGGCCCCTGTCTTTGGAGAGAAAGACACCATATATGGGTTTAAGCTTCCAAGAAAAGACCAGACTAGGAGGCAGAGAAGAAGGTGGGGAGGGAGGAACATTTCCTGACCTGGGGCCCCTTGGAGTGCCCAGGGCTCCAGGGAAGAGGAGGCTGAAGCAAACTGAGTCATCAGGAGAGAAGACCTGGTCGGGAGTGCCTGGGCATGAGAATGGCCACTGGTGAGTACCCTGGGGGACTGGCAGCGGAGTTGGCATTAAGAGTGGTCATGGTCAAGAATGGCAGACCATGGGGCTGGGTTTGTGGCTCAGCGGTAGAGCGCTCGCCTAGCATGGGCAGGACCCAGGTTCGATTCTCAGCACTACATAAAAATAAAAGGCATTGTGTTGTGTCCATCTACAAAAAAAATAAGATTCTCTCTCTCTCAAAAAAAAAAAAAAAAAAAAAAAAGAGAAAGAATGGCAGACCATGAAGCAAACACTGGTTTAAACTGTTTAAAAGGTTAAAAGAGAAAACTTTCCTGTACTACCCCACAACCCTCCCGCCTTCCTCACCCCAAGGACTACCCTAGAAAAGTCTGGGCTTCACATGGTGAATGGATGGCGGTGCATAACACCACTGTGGTATGCCCAAAGTCCTACTTCACCCCGCAGAACATGAGAACCGGAAGGCAGTCTATTATGCCTCTCTCTCAGCCCATGTCGGCAAACTCCATCTTCAAAGCAGATCCAGATTTGGCCAGCTCCCATCACCCCTCTCACCTTGTCCAGGATGCCAGCCTCCTTCATTGATTTGTGGGTTAGCCTCTTACCTGGTGGGCCTGCCTCGACCCCAGCTGCCTGTAGCAATTTTCCATACCACAGCAGCATTGCAGCACGCTCTCGCAGCATGCTGCCACATCAAGCCTCGACCACACTTTGGCCCTCTAGCTACTTCTTTTGCTCCTTGGCATAAAAGCCCCTGAGTTCTCATGAAGTCCCACAGACCTGCGAATTCTGGCTCCCACTGCCTCAGCAACCTGCTACGCTCTTCCTCCCTTGGTAACTCCAGTCACACCAGCATCCTCTCTTCCCACAAATTCCAAACGCCCCACCTTCCTGGTCCTTGCTATTTCTGCTGTCTGCAGGGCTCTTCAGCAACCCCTGGGATCCTGGTGTCCTCTAACTTCCCAGAGCAGCTTTCCTGGACCTCCAAGCTAACACCAGATCCTGCTTTAAAAAATATCATTTATCTAGTGAATCCTTTCCTTCTCTAGAATGTAAGGTCCAAGGGAAAAGGAATTCATTTGTTCATATCCCTAGCTCTTTCATCAGGGCTTGTCCTCATAAAGGTGCTACACTAGTATTCTGTTGAAGGAATGAATGAATGAACTTTACCATAAGTGTGGCACATCTGAATTTACTGAAGGGAAATAAAAGAGGCCCTAGAGTCACAGACACCCCAGCGTGTGTTTGTGTGTGCGTTGTGAGGTGGTAGCAGGGGTGGGTGGTGTGACCTCTCATGCATATACCTAAGTCGAAAATGCAGTGAGCCCAACCGTGAGGAATGGCTGTTTCTAGCTTCTCACATGTCATTCCTATTCTTTTAGTTTCCCTAAACTCATGGGTAGGGAGTTTCTGATATTCCTAACTGTTCCATCCCAAGACCATGTATCAAATTAATATGGATCAGTTTTCCTAAAGAAAACAGGTTGCCATGGTTTTGAGATCCTTGGGTAGCATCCCTGGAAGAGCACTGTGGATGGGAGAATGCCCATCCTGGTGTGCATGTGCCGGCTCTGATTAGGAGATGACTGCACCCGGGTACACAGGCACCATCATGCCCACCACACGAGGGACACCTGGGCTCAAAAGATACTGCACTTTGACCAGTCATGTGGGTAAGCCATGGTTAAGACAAATGGAAATCATGGCTGCATATGCTGCTTTTCTTCCATGAGCGGTTGCTTCCTTTCAACAGGGCAAGATGGACTTGTGCCCGAAGGCTGGCCTGCCACCTGTACTTTCTGTCCCTTTGGAAAAGAAGTAAAAGAGACAAGCTGGAGCCAATGGCCTGGCATTCTGAGGGGTACCTAGTTTGCTGAAATGTCCATCTCTAAGC